AAGAGTTGAAAAGTCGCTTAATATCAGCTCCTATTTTGATTTTGCCTGATCCAAAGAAGGGTTTTCAAGTGTATTGCGATGCATCCAAACTTGGGTTAGGTTGTGTTCTGATGCAAGATGGGAAGGTGGTTGCCTATGGCTCTCGACAGTTACGTCCGCATGAGAAGAACTACCCTACTCATGATATTGAGTTAGCTGCAGTCGTTCATGCATTGAAGATTTGGCGTCATTATCTTTTCGGTACTCGTACAGAAGTGTACACCGATCACAAGAGTTTAAAGTATATCTTTACTCAGCCGGATCTGAACATGAGACAACGGAGATGGTTGGAATTAATTAAGGATTATGACATGGGAATTCATTATCATCCGGGAAAGGCTAATGTTGTAGCAGACGCTCTTAGCAGAAAAGGCTATTGCAATGCTACAGAAGGACGACAGTTGCCATTGGAATTATGCAAGGAATTTGGAAGATTAAATTTGGGAATTGTCGGTAGAGGTTTCGTTGCAGCCTCAGAAGCGAAGCCCACTCTAATTGATCAAGTTAGAGAAGCCCAAATTAATGATCCTGATATTCAAGAGATCAAGAAGAATATGAGAAGAGGAAAAGCTATTGGTTTCTTGGAGGATGAGCACGGAACTGTATGGTTGGGTGAGAGAATCTGTGTCCCCGACAACAAAGATCTAAAAGATGCAGTTCTGAAAGAAGCTCATGATATTTTATACTCCATTCACCCTGGTAGTACTAAGATGTACCAGGATCTCAAGGAAAGATTTTGGTGGGCAAGTATGAAGCGTGAAATCGCGGAATATGTAGCAGTATGTGATGTTTGTCAGCGAGTCAAGGCAGAACATCAGAAACCCGCCGGTTTGTTGCAGCCTTTGAAGATTCCTGTATGGAAATGGGAAGAAATAGGTATGGATTTTATTACTGGTTTACCCAGAACGTCATCAGGCCATGACTTTATTTGGGTGATAGTCGACAGACTTACCAAAGTGGCTCATTTTATTCCGGTAAAGACAACCTATTCCGGAAGTCGCTTGGCGGAATTGTATATGGCAAGGATTGTGTGTTTGCATGGCGTCCCTAAGAAGATAGTGTCTGATCGAGGCAGTCAGTTTACTTCAAATTTTTGGAAGAAACTTCAGGAAGAGATGGGTTCTAAGCTGAACTTTAGTACTGCTTATCATCCACAGACAGACGGACAAACCGAAAGGGTGAATCAGATTTTGGAAGACATGTTGAGAGCTTGTGCTTTAGATTTCGGTGGAAGTTGGGATAAGAATCTACCTTATGCAGAATTTTCATACAACAACAGTTATCAAGCTAGTTTACAGATGGCTCCTTACGAAGCACTGTATGGTCGGAAGTGCCGCACTCCGCTTTTGTGGGATCAAACGGGAGAACGTCAGGTTTTCGGGACGGATATCCTAAGGGAAGCAGAAGAAAAGGTAAAGGTCATTCAAGAAAGATTGCGAGTGGCTCAGTCTCGACATAAGAGTTATGCCGACAATCGCCGTAGAGATTTGAGTTTTGAAGAAGGAGACTATGTGTATCTTCGTGTCACGCCTCTTCGAGGAGTTCATCGTTTTCACACCAAGGGAAAATTGGCACCGCGTTTTGTGGGACCTTATAAGATTGTCAGTAGAAGAGGAGAGGTTGCTTATCAGTTAGAATTACCTCAATCTTTGGCAGGAGTCCATAATGTGTTCCATGTGTCACAATTAAAAAAATGTTTAAGGGTACCTACCGAAGAAGCTAATATTGAGCAGATAGAAGTCCAAGAGGATTTGACTTAGGTTGAGAAACCAATCCGTATCCTGGAAACAAATGAGAGAAGAACTAGGAATCGAGTTATCCGTTTCTGCAAAGTTCAATGGAGTAATCACTCGGAAGAAGAATCAACTTGGGAACGAGAAGATGAATTGAAGTCAGCTCATCCGCACCTGTTCGCCAGTTCTTCCGAATCTCGAGGACGAGATTCTGTTTAAGGGGGGTAGGTTTGTCACACCCTGAAAATTTAAAATTTATAAATTGTTGTTTAAATGGAATTTTTAGAAATAATTTTAAAAGTCTTGAAGAGAAGATCTAGTTTTAATTAATAAATTCCAATATAAAATGGGCCCAGATAAAATTTCATTAAATACTTTGCTTAATTCTATAATTCCTAGATTTTTCTGGGATTTATTTGAGCTAAGGAAGTATTTTTAATAAATGGAATTGCATTTAAGAAATAATTTAAATTGAAAAAGGTTTTAAAAAGTGTCTTTTGGCTTTGGGCCGAAAGTCGGCCCAAAACCCCTCTCTCTCTCCTCGGCCCAGTTCGGCCCAGTCCGCCGCGCGCGCGCCCTCTCGCTGTCGCTGACAGGTGGGTCCCGCCTGTCAGGACCTTCGTCCTACTTCGGCCGCCGCCGCCGAAACCCTAGTTTCGCGCCGCCGCCGTTTCCTTCCAAATCCGGCCGTTCCTTTCCTTCTCCGGTCAAATCAAAAGAGGGGAAACAATCTCCGGGATCTCCTCTACCTTTTTCTCCTTTGGAATCTTCGGCTAAATCGGTTTGGAAGTTCGTGGAATCGAGTTCGATTCGGATCGACCTCTTTCCTTCAAGCCGCGAGTTTCCTTCGCCGTTGCCGCCGCCGTGGGCCTTTGCCGCCGCCTCCGAGCCCCTTTAAAAGGACCCTCGGTGTCTCCTCTACCCGCCGCCACCCTCGCCTTCGCCTCTCGTCGCCGGAAGAGCTCTAGCGCCGTGTGCCCTAGCTTTGCCGTCGCCGCCGCCGCTCCAGCCGTGCGCCGCCGTCGCTTCAGCCGTCACCGTCGCTCGGGAAGACCGTCGTCGTGGTCGCCGTCGCGTCGCCGTTCTCGTCCGCCCCTTCGCCGTTGCCGGAGATCGCCGGAGCTTCGTCGCCGTCGACAACCCGAAGGTTTCCGCCGTTTCCTCCTCGTCGTCGTCGTCGTCCGTTGTTCTTCCGCCGCCGTTTTGGTCACCGGTGTGTTCGCCGCGTCGTCCTCTACGTGCTGGTGCCCTCCGTTTGCGTCCTGGTGCCGCCGTTCGCCGGCAAGCGTGCGCCGCCCGAGCCGTCCGCTCCGCCGAGCCGCCGCCGCTGTCGGTGACGTCACCGCTGACGTCATCGGGGTCGTCCGCTGTGAGCCGGTCGTGGACCGTTCGATCTCGGCCGTCCGTTTTGGATTGGTTCGATCTCGGCCGTCCGTTCGTGTGAACCGCTGCCCGTGCGCCCAGTCCGCCAAACCCTAGCCCGCTGACGCAATAATCCTTCTTTTCCTTTTCAAAAATAATTCATTATTGCGTCATAATTCAATTTTAACCGATATAAGTGTTTTAATCCGATTTAATCTTTAAAAATTCATAACTAATTCATCTTAGCTCCGATTTAGTTGGTTCAAGTCTCTAAATTTTTCTAAAATTGAGATTTACACTTTAAAAATATCCACATGTACTGTTCATGCTTGTTTATGTGCTGTTTTGGTGATTTTGCTCTTTTCTGCTTAGATTCCGTCGTTTCCGGAGAGTCCGTTTTCGCAGAAGAAGAGTTTGAAGAGTTCCAAGGCCAGCAAGGCAAGTCACACAGATCCCAAACAACCCTTTGAGCATGTTGATCCTATTTAAAGCTATTGTTTCTATTCAACTATTGCATCTATTTTCGAATGTCATTGGGTGGAATTGACCTATTCTTTGTTATGGCCCTTTTGTACTTGATTACCTTATTCCTTGATACCTTGGGTTATTACAATTTGACTAGTTGAGCTTTATTTATATTGGTTCAACTAGATATTAGATATAATTGCTTAGCCCTGCTTAGAAACATTAGTACACATTCGGGATAACTAATGACTCACTATTATTTAATGATGGTTTCATGATAGTTCACGATGATCAATCGTGATTAGTTAATTAATTAATGTGCCAACTAAAACCTGGTAATGGTGGGTTGTGAGTACATGGTTTTGGTTGGTCGTGCTCATGACAATTAAGGACCGGTTCACGAGTTTCGGTTGTGAAACATTAACCGTGCCAACCACAAGCCAGCATGGGCAACGGCTTTATCTTTTGTATAGCATGGTTCATTGCGGGGCACCAGACTGAGAAGTGGCGGAGATAAGCCCACGGGGGTCGCTGGGGAGTCCATGCCTTGTTTATAAGGGGGTGATTATGATCCAGGAAGGTGCGCTGCAGTGGATTGTGTTATGCGAGGGGTATTGTCACAACTCCTTTCCGAGATACCGTGGTGGTATTGAGGCACATGGTGACATGATGTGGGGTTGTGTCTTGTGGGTACAGTGGTATACCTCTGATCAGAGTAAAACTATTCGAATAGCCGTGCCCGCGGTTATGGGCGGGTCTAACAATGTCTTTCGTGATTAGTCTCACACCTCTCATCATTGTAAAAGATGCTTAAACTGGTAATAATTTGTTTAGCTCCTGGTTTGGAATGGTATATTCCTGGTTTGGAGATAGAACTGTGCAGCCGGGGTGGTTGTTCAGAATGGTTGGGCCTATACAACAGGGTATGTTGTATAGCGTTGGATTAATATTGTTTAATTACTTAACTGTTTTATCAAATTCTCAAACGTTTGCTAAATGCTGCTTTTGCAAATGCAACCCTATTATGCCATCCTTTGTTATCCTGTGCACTTGCATATTTGCTGCGTGGCTTGCTGAGTATGTCATATACTCACCTTGCAATCATTCATCAGAGGAAGAGTTCTACAATGAGGCTGATGGTGTGGAGGATTAGGTGTAGCCTTGGTCAAGCTGCCTGTGGAGTGGAGCCATCTGCGCCGTTTATTTATTTTCCGCTGCTTAGATCTTTATTGATTGAGAGGAACTATCTACCTCTGTAATGACATTTTATTCGCTTATTAATTAGAGTAATATTTGTACTCTATTATCAATTTGTTATTGTGTGCCTCGGCTGATTCCTGGACGAGGGTTCACACACATGTAAGCGTTTGGAATTTTGGATAGAAATTCCGGGCGTGACACATCGACTATTTGAGTTTGATATACATTATAGAATGCCACCTGTTGAGCGATTAGTTGTACATTTGCCTGGCAAAAATTATGTTAGATATGAGAAAGGGTCTGATTTACGAGCAGTCCTAGAGAGTCCTGCTGCAAAAAGTTCGATGCTAACTGAATGGTTTGAAGCGAATAAAAAATATCCTAAGGCTCATTCATTGACATACTGCGAATTTCCAAAAGAATGGACATGGGAGCCATCATCTAGAGTGTGGCGCCCACGAACTCCTGCTCCAAACATTGGTAGAATTTACTATGTGCATCCAACTGCTGGTGAGCTTTACTACTTGCGAATGCTACTGATGATTGTTAGAGGTGCCCAAAGTTATGTTGATGTGCGAACATACAATGGCATTGTTTATTCCACATATAGAGAGGCCTGTGAGGCACAAGGGCTCCTCGAAGGAGACAATGAATGGTACCTGCTTTTTGATGAGGCAATACTAACTGCATCATCGCAACAGCTTAGACAACTTTTTGTAACCATCCTTCTTTATTGCTCAGTTATAGATGTGCGCTCATTATTTGACAAGTACTAGATACACATGACACATGATATTCATAATAGACTGAAAAAAGCGCTAGATAATCCTCACTGCATAATTCCACAGGATCACTTGCTTAACCTTCTATTACATGAGCTTGCTACTGTATTTGCAAAAAGTGGTGGCGACATAAAGGATTTTAACTTGCCACACCCAACCTCCATTGCACATATCGCTGGTGGTAACAGATTAATTGATGAGGAACTTACAATTGATCCACTTATGCTAAGCATGCATGCAGATTCTTTGATAACACAATTGAATACTGAGCAAAAACATATTTTTGATGTTATATCTTCTCGTGTTGCTCATAATCAACCTGGTTTCTTCTTTGTGTGTGGCCATGGGGGAACCGGCAAAACATTTCTATGGAATGCTATCATTGCAAAACTTAGATCACAAAATAAACTTGTGCTTGCTGTAGCGTCATCAGGGGTGGCATCTTTACTGCTACCTAGAGGTAGGACAGCTCACTCACGATTTAAAATACCCATTGATATTGATGAGACAAGCATTTGTAACATTAAACGAGGAAGTATGCTTGCTGAACTTTTAATTGAAGCTTCGCTTATTATATGGGATGAGGCTCCGATGACACATAGGCGATGTTTTGAAGCGTTGGATCGGACTTTACGTGATATCCTTTCTCAAACGTGTGCTACAAATTCTATTATACCTTTTGGAGGAAAACCCGTCGTTCTAGGTGGTGATTTCAGACAGATATTGCCAGTTGTTCCTAAAGGTTCCCGCCATGCTATAGTCAATGCATCAATCACAAATTCAGATCTATGGAAACATGTAACAGTCTTAACGATGAATATAAATATGAGACTACTTAACACAAACCTAGAGCAAAAGCAAAAAGATGAGCTGCATGATTTTAGTAAGTGGGTTTTAGCTATTGGTAATGGCACACTACCTATGACCACGAAGGAAGGTGAAAGCTATCCATCATGGATCGAAATTCCTCATGACTTACTTATTATAACTGATGGTGATAAAATATCTGCTATTGTGAATGAAGTGTATTGTGATTTTCTTGCATCATACATGAATCCTGAATACTTAGCTTCTCGTGCAATTGTTTGTCCTAACAATGCTACAGTAGATGAAATAAATGACTATGTTATTGGTTTAGTACCAAGAGAAGCAAGGATATACCTAAGCTGCGATACAATATCAAAGTGCTCTGAACAAATTCCAGATTTTGACTTGCTATATCCACCTGAGTTTCTTAATTCAATAAATGTTGCAAACTTCCCTACACATAGACTTATCCTCAAAGAAGGTGTTGTTGTCATGTTGCTCAGAAATCTAAACCAATCAATTGGTCTCTGCAATGGAACAAGACTATTAATTGTTGCTTTAGGTGATAGAATTCTTCAATGCATTATACTCACTGGCTCAAACATTGGTGATACTGTTTACATACCTCGAATAACACTGAGTACTACTAAAATGAAATGGCCTTTTACATTGCAAAGGAGACAATTCCCTATTCGAGTTTGCTATGCAATGACCATCAATAAAAGTCAAGGACAAACACTACAACGAGTTGGTGTGTACCTTAGAAAACCTGTTTTTACACATGGCCAGTTGTATGTTGCAATTTCAAGAGCTACAAGTCGATCAGGTCTAAAAATATTAATTGAGAACGACGATGGTTCATGCGGAAACCATACAAGGAATATTGTTTACAGTGAAATACTCACTGCTACATTTCCAGCGGTGCTTTTCTTAACACTGCCCTATACATTGTATTCATCTTTTTCTTAGCATCATTTAGTAATGCAAATCCATTCCAATTGCAGGCTCCGCCGTTGCATACTTAGCTATTTTGGCCTAAACAGGGACAAATTTTGTACAAACATTTTGGAATAAATATATGTCTTCAGCAGCTATCATGTGCTATATACCCGCTGCAATATTCCCCTCTTAATATTATATGTACTGTCTTTGCCATCACTGTTTTCTTTCATTAGCAGTAACTATATAGATTAATATGTATTAAAATTGTTTACTACCTATTGCAGATTCCAAATGGCGCACATACTCATCTCACAGCTGTCATGTGGTGATTCAAACATACGAATTAAGGCAAGAGTTTCTAGGCTATGGGACTTTCATGATCTCAATGATGACAGAAAAATTGTGCACACTGATCTTGTCTTACTGGATGAAACGGTAACAATTTACCTACTGCAATTTTATACCAGAATTTTCTTTATTGTATTAATCATTTTATTGACAATATTCTCTATATTTAAAAAATATAGGGGAACAGCATACATGCTCAAATGTATCAGCATGTAATAGTGAACTTGAAACCTCTTCTTCAAGAAGGAAAAGTTTACTACATTGATTCATTCACTGTCAGATATGCAAATAGGACATATAGGCCAGTTGCGCATAGCCAAATGATCCTATTCACTAAATGGACAACTTTAGAAGAATGTGTCGATGTGCCTGCTGATTTCCCTGCTATAACATTTTCATTGACACCTTTTGGAGATGTTCCCTCTCTTGTGGACAAAAACATCTTTTATGTTGGTAATAACCTATCCATACCATCTTACTACATATACACATCTTTCGCTTCTTTACAACATTTATTAAATTTATACCACATACAAACAGATATTATGGGTGTTATCACTGAAATTGGCACAACGTCTACTGTACGTCCTCAGTCAAGGAACACTGACAGTTTAAAAAGAACACTACAAATATGTGATGCAAGGTTAGTTCCATGAAACTCAGTCCTTACCATTCTACTTTCCAAATATTTGTTTTAACGAACATTCATACTCACTTTTACACATGCTTTGAATATCTAATAATTTGTTCCAATTATAATTACACCAATTTTTCTATTAATCCACAACACTAGCAATTCCACACTACCTCTCACACTTTGGGGAGAGCGAGCAACTGCTTTCGATGCTGAGAATATCTACAATGCTGGCCAAAGACAACCTCAGGTGGTTGTGTTTGTTGGCACGCTTGTCAAGAACTACAAAGGCTTAGGTACATTTGTACCTACATTTTCGCTTACTATGTTATGTATAATACAAAATTAACAATATTTCAAAATTCCTCTATTCTTCTACAGGGCTTACACTGACTGGAAGCTCCCCATGCAAATGGTACATTAACCTTGAAATACCTGAAGTAGTGGAACTGAAAGAAAGGTGATCTTGTTATCTTCCAAGTATTCCTGCAATCTATTTACATTGCACAATTTGCAACTATTAGGATGACATCCATTAATTCTAGACACAATCTGTTTGCATAGCTTTAGCACCAACTTTCAGCCAATCAGGTGGAACGACGATCCTCCTGCAGGATTCAACCAAAGCAACCCACAAGAAAAGACACTTAAAGACATTCTTGACCTTAATCCTCATAAACATAAGGTTTGTCTTACCTCTTAATTAACTATCAACAACATTTTCCTGGATTTTACAGTCGTATTATCAACAGAATTTTTTCACTCTTATCCTTTGCAGGAAGCAGCTTCATAGTAAATGTGGTTGTTAAAAGAATATGCAACGAAAACTCCTGGTGGTACAATTCATGTCACCTATGCTACAAAACCTCAAAACCATATGGCTCAGCCTACAAGTGCACCAGTTGTTCCTATATAGGAATACCAGATCAAAGGTCAATAGCGCAGTTTAATTAATTCTACATGTCTAACTATTTATCACTCACAAATTTCTATATTCATTTAAATTTACATGCAGGTACAAATTAGTGCTAATTGCTGGAGATACTACTGCAGATGCAACATTTATTCTTTTTGGAAAAACTGCGCAACGCATCATACGAAGGCCAGTGGAATCTCTGATCGAAGAAAATCCACCGGACAGTGAATTCATTCCAAGGGAAATCTTAGCACTTGTTGACAATGGTTTTCTATGGAATCTCAGCTTCACAAAGGATATTAACAGAAGCGAAGAAACTCTCCAGGTTAATAGTGTTATATCCTCTGGTCCAGCAAATCAACCACTGCTGCTTATGTCGCCAAGTCCTTCACAGCCAACATCAGCAATTGTATCGGCAAGCTCAAGTAGTTCTCTCCAGACAGCACCAACACCAAGTGAAACAAGCACCGAATCGCAATTAGCCATCATACCAACACAGGGCACTTCAACACCAACAAAATACACTCCTGCTACTGCAACAGATGAGACACCAACTAGCAAATCAAGCTCCTTAGTATTTACCAAAAAAAGCATTATTGTCTCAGGCTACTCTATGCCATCTCACACTGCAAAGACCTCTACTGATACTAAGGTATCCTTCTCAATACCTACTCTTGCACTTCCTCTGCTATAAACAAATTTTCCTAAATATTTGGAGATACACTCTGACCTATTGACCAACTATGCAAGGCAAAAATTGGCACTCATCATGAAGAGAAGATCTCACAAAGTGCATCTTTAACTACAATTGTTCCCCGTGATACTTCGGATAAGGTATTCATGCTCTTTCTTTTCATAACCTAATCCATCAATTTCTGAAAAAAAAAAGTGCTTCTTCTACAAGGCAAAGGTCACCACTGAATCTCCAGATGAGTCTCCACAGGCAGATCCTTCACTGGCGCCAAAGAGCACACCCAAAAAAAGGTCTGTAAAGCTTTCAGTTCAAAGTTACAGTAATAGACATTTCTTGCACACATTGTATTTGACATGTCCTTATAATGAACAGAGGTAGACCTACAGAAACCACCACAATTGCCAAAAAATTGTTCAAGGATAGTACCCAGAAGAAACCCACTGACAGGTTAATTCTGAATAACTCAGCTCACCTCTCCACACATACACATTAATTCTTTAGTAAACTTCACTAAATTTCTAAATTCATCATTCATTTCTGCAGTGAATGAGACGGATATATGCAGTCCATCAGCAAGTCTTTTGTGTATATGTATAGAACGAACCACCCAAGCTAGAAGTGTAGAAGCAACAAGTTAGCTGCAAGCCCAGAAGAGGCTAAGAAGCAAGCCCTTTTGTTCATGACCCCTAGGTCATGATTATCATTGTAAATAAGTAATGTTATGTTTACCTTCCTTGCCACCTTCTGTGCTGTGAAATGCTATTCGAACAGCTACTACTTATATGGAACCAATATAGTTATGGCTGCGTACTACCTAAACATTTCTCCTTCATGTCAAAGGCACCATTATACGCAAACCTTTTTTTTTCTACTACAGCTATATCGAACCATACAATACACTACATGATAAATAGCACAAATTATTCTGACAAGCAAACTCCATTGTCTCAATCCTACGGCATGGAAAGATTTTTGAAATACACTACACTATCTATATTCCTATACATTTAAATGATGAAAAAAACTTCCAGCTCCACAAGTGCAGCGCGCGAAGCGCGCTCTCGCCCCTAGTTGTCTTCAAAGATGCCCAATAGGCCATTAGGACCGTTAAAAAGAAGAGATAACAGGTGAGGGATTATTGTACCGTAGTTCAATGCATGTGCAGTTACCAATGAAAGTGTGTGTTCCATAATATGTAAAATAATTCAGTGGAGATTTCTACGGGAGTCATGATTAATTATCTACGGGTGTTAATTTAATTCGATGGTGAGGAAATAGGTGCTAGCGGAAGCACCTAAAGCATTGCATATATAGTTGGCTACCTTGGCTGTTTATGAGGAAATAAAGCAATAGCTAGCTAGTATAATTGAAAGCCTTTTAAACCCTTATGGTCATGTGCCGCGTTCAGCTCAAATGCAGCTCAACTAGTATAGTTATAAAAAAATAATATTTAAAATGTGAGAACACAAGTGTGGAGATTATGGTTACCCCATATCTACATGGCGGTCATATTCCAGCTGGGTATAGGATACCGAATAAAGATAGAATATCTTCATGAGGATTCGGGTTAGATTGTAAACTTGTATGTCGAGGAAATACCCGAGATCCTAGTCGGTTACGATTGTATTTTATCTGTAATTCCATGTTCTTTTGGGATATGGACTGTATTTTGTAAAGCGGACCCCTTCCCCTATATAAGGAGGGGTCCGGATGCCTCTCGGGGCACGGTTTTTTAACCTAGATTATATAATCAATAATACACTCGGCGGAATCATCCCCGAAAAGGAGTAGGGTATTACTTCTTGAATAAGAAGGCCTGAACCTGTATAAAATTCTTCGTCTCCAAACCCATCCACTTTCCTAGCTTGACAGTCACCCTCTTTTTGTATTGCCGAAATTTTGTTTCGACAGTTGGCGCACCAGGTAGGGGCAGCGTCAAGTTTTTGCCGACTAAGTGCGATGGGTTCCGTTTCTGGCATCGACGACTTCGCCTTCCCTCCCGGGCAGGCGTTCCGGTTCGGCAGCCTCAACTTCATCACCAACGACTTCGGCAAGATGTCTCTCCTTGACTCGGATTCGAACCAGTCGGGGAGAGATCAGGTCCCCGCGTCGTTCGGTATTCCGAACTCGGCCGAGGCCTACTCCAAGATCATCTCTCCCGAGTCGGCTTCAAACCACTCGGACGAGATCCAATCTACTCCTCCGCGACCAGATCAAGATGACGGGTCCTATCCCTTAATCCTGATGAAACTTCCTGATGATTTGGCCGCTGTCTTCACAGCCAAGACATCTCCCACTCGAAGATCTAGGCGAGCTCCGGCTTCGGCCCCGATCCAATCTAGATCCAGGGAGGTTGGCGTTATACTCCAACCTCTTGGGACAGTCTCGACGGAAGAGTTGGATGGCTACCTCAGCTCCCCCGGCGTCAGTTCTCGACCAACCGAGATCCTCGACTACGACGACTTCGGCTACCACTATGACCATGGCGACTTCGACAACTTCGACGACAGCTATGAGGATAACTACACGCCTCTCTTCTTCGGCGTATTCATGGCTGACAACGAAACGGAGGAACAGCGCCGAGCCCGAGAAGCGGACCAAGAGCGCGCACGGCAAGAAACTGAACGTCGCCGACTGGAGGAAGAGCGACAACGACAGGAGCAAGAACGACTACAGCGTGAGCAACAAGATCGCGAACGGATTGC